AACCATATCTTTATCTTTTTCAGGATTGATAACAATCGTTGTCCCAAAAGTCTACAAAAACAAACACACACCAAGTCATCAACAGGTTTATGATACCATATATTATTTTCTCCTGCTATTAAACAATCATGACAGTGGAAAAATTTCATAAATTCAGTCTGCATTCTAAAAATTAAGTGAATACTATAGTTCCTCCCTTATCTTTGGGGGACATGTTCCAAGATCCAAGTAGATATCTGAAACCATGGAGAGTACCGAACCATATATATTGTGCACGTGTGTGTGTACACACACACACACACACACACACACACACACACACAGTTTTTTCCTATACATACATACAATTTAAGGCTTCTCTTTGGCATTATCTGATTGCCAGTATCACTACTCTTGCACTTTGGGCCATTATTAAGTAAAATAAGGGTTATCTAAACCCCAAGCACTGTGTACTAAGTGACCAATGGGTGGATAGTATATACTGGGTGGATATGCTGAACAAAGGGATGACTCATATCCCAAGTGGGATAGGCTGAGATTTCACCATGCTACTTAGAATGGCTCACAATTTAATACTTATGAATTGCTTATTTCTGAAATTTTCCATTTAATGTTTTTGGAACACAAGTGACTACAGGTAACTGAAACCACAAAGAGTGTTACAATTCTGCTTCTGGAAGAATTTATAAATCCCTGAAACATTTTCTATTGTTTTTTTGACGAACTTTTTACATATGAATTCTTCAAATAGATATTAATTCCCATCAACACATCCATTTGGACTTCGTGGCTATAGTTTTCTTTCTCCTTCACTTCTAATTATAAACAGCATGGTTTTTAGCCTGTATTTTAAATCAAAAATGCTATATTAAAATAAATATTACTAAAATTCTATGTGTGACAATAATAGTTAGCTGTTTGAGGACATAAACTACCAGTTTGAAGAGGTGGTGAATATAATTAATCAATGTAATACATATTTTTGAAAAACTAGTCTTGCCTGGGCGCAGTGGCTCAGGTGGTTGTGTGTCATCCTGTGCACCGAAAGGTTGCTGGGTCGATTGCTGATCAGGGCACATACCTGATCCCCAGTTAGGGCACATATAAAAAGCAACCAATTGATGTTTCTCTCTCTCTCTCTCTCTCATAAAAAGCAACCAATTGATGTTTCTCTCTCTCTCTCTCTCTCTCACTCTCTCTCTCTCTCTCATATATAAAAAGCAACCAATTGATGTTTCTCTTTCTCTCTCTCTCTCTCTCTCTCTCTCTCTCTCTCTCTCTCTCTCTCTACATATCCTTGGCTGAGGATTAAAAGAAAAAAGAAAAAAAGAAAAAAAAATGGTCTTAAGTATACACTACACATTATTTATGCAGGTCAAGGCAGACTATTGGCGAAAAAGTAGAAATACATTAGCATAAATACCTTCTGGAAAGGAACACTATAACACTATGACCACCAGGGGTGGGAGGGACTTACTTTTCACTCTACCCTTTGTACTGACTGCATTTAAAAATAATGTACACACACTGCCAAGATCAGCTTTATTTTGATAACAACACTGTGCTGAATGTAACTTCCTATTTTGTCCTTATCTTATGGACACTCAGGAACGATGGTCACATCACTGATTTTTTACTACCCAAACTAAAAATTGCAAAGGTTTCCTGTTCCCTGAGGACTACATGTTGACAAAATCCTAAATCTCTATTAATTAGCCTTTCCTTAACATAAAGTTTCATTGCCAATCCAGCTTAAGTCAGTCATGAGTTTTAGCTCAATATTGTTGTATAGAATTTTGAGGTGGTGGTGCGCATGTGTGTACAAGCTTTCAACATGTAAAATAGTAAGTAACTCCAGGCCTGATATTCCAAAAAGCAGTATGAAAGCTTTATCTTTTTATCTCATTGAAATATTCCTTGTGATAGAGATTCTCACGCAGTAGAAATACGACATTGTCTATTTTCCTCTGATGATAACATCTGGCAAAACAATTGGGCAGCATCACTACCAGGATGTTAGTATTGATACAATCTACCCATCTTATCCAGATTGTCCCAGTTTTAACTGAAACTAACTTTTGTATGGATTTAGTTTTTATCACCTGTGCAGATCTGTGTACCCTTCACCACTGTCAAGATACCACAAGGAATCCTTCTGTTGCCTTTTTTATAACCATACATGTACATAACTGTTGGGGGCCAGATGTAAGCTGGCAAGGTCCTTGCACCTGAAGGGGCTAGCAAGGCTGGGACCCTTACCCACACAGTTTTCCCAGACTTGTTTGGATGGCAATTATCAGTAGAATGAGAACAGCCTTTCATGGCTTACCAAGAAGTCTGTAACTATTTACTGAGATATGCTGTACTGAGAACTTGTCCTTCTGCTGTGTCTCTCCCTTAGAGAATAAGAGGAACAAAGAATACATTCCTCTTGACAGACCTCCTATTCAGTGTGTTGTGTATAAATAGGATTGTGTGGCTAATAAACTTGCTTCAGTTCCTTGAGAGCTGTAGTCTTCCTGACCCCGCTTTCCTGTCTTTCTTTCTTTTCTCAATTCCCACCTCCCTGCCTCAGCCCGGCTCAACCTGTCAGGCTGGCCCTGACACATAACGCATGCTACAGAAACATGAAAGTAACGTTTAAATAATAAATCCTAGATTGCTAGGAAATAAAGTAGCACACACATCAACCTACCAAAATGTGCACTAGTTCTCACTGTGCAAAGGTATGTTTAAAAAGCAGATTCACAAAAATGACTACTGTAGAATGAAATGTATGTAGTTATGCTGATGACAAATAGTCAAACAGCCTTTCAAGTCATGTTTATACCAGGATGCTGTTTATCACTGTTTGTGTTATCTTAAGTTTGCACTGCCCCAGCCAGAGTGGCTCAGTGGTTGAGTATCAACCCATGAACCATGAGGTCACTGGTTGATTCTCAGTCAGGGCACATGTCCAGGTTGCAGGCTAGATCCCTGGTGGAGGGCATATAGGAGGTAGCCAATCGATGATGTTTCTTTCTCACTGATGTTTCTATCTCTCTATCCCTCTCCCTTCCTCTCTCTCTAAAAACCAATAAAAAGATATTTTTAAAAAGTTTGCACAAGTGATCTGGAAAGAAATGGAAGACTACTATTTACCTGATCACCTGCTATGAAAAAACAAAGGTACCTCCAAACAGTCAAGTTCACTTTTCCCAGGGTATTGCAGTATCCTGAAGATGGGCCACCCACCCCTTGTACAAAGCACAGTTGGTATTACTATCAAGACAAACCCCACACACCTTGATGTACTCGCTCCAGTGCTGAAGCAGGATCTGCTGCCCACCCTTCACTCGGCTAAACAGCTGGTACATCTGAGTGAGGTCAGGCACTCTGTTCTCATCAAGTAAGTGATCAAGTCCTGAGATCACACAGTAAATGTTAGCATATCACATCAGTAAGTCAATGCGAATAATACTTAAACCAGAAAATAGTATGCACCACAAAAAAAGTTAACATGTAATATAAAAAATTAGGGAATATTGCTTATTTCTACACAGGCAAGTTGTTCTGGTGCAATATCTGATAAATCCTATTAAGTGAATCTCATTTTTCTAACCATGGTGGGAGATGTATTCTTTATTTCTTCATGTCACTAAGCAGGGGTGGGAACTTTTTTTCTGTCAAGGGCCATTTGGGTATTTATAACATCATTTGCAGCCCATACAAATTTATCAACTTAAAAATTAGCTTGCTATATTTGGTCAAACATTTAATGAACTCACCCATAATGCCTTGAGAGGGCTAGATCAAAGGATTTCTCGGACCTTATAGGACTTGTGGGCCAGATGTTCCCCACTCTTGCACTAAAGCCTTCTTAATTCACTAAAGTAGCAATAATCTGAAAATGCTCACACCAACTATGTGACCTGGGAGGTTCATGATTCCAAGTTCCTTCTGATCTAATCCACCAGTCCAAAAGTATACTGTCAAAGAATATGCTATCAAATGTAATCTTTTAGATGATTAATTTTATCCATAGATATAATACACTGTGAGAGAAAACCATTTATTATTGATTAAACACGGCATTTTAAAAGTTCTTCTTTCCTGTTTTAGGTATTTAGATTTTATAAAACCACACCACCATTGGAACTTTCACAGATTTCCTAAATATCGGCTTTATAATAATGGAGAGGCAGCTAAGTTAGAAAAGCAGCGAGCTAGTCATGTTATTTCACAAAGTCTCAGATTCTTCTATAAATGGGCACAATGTCCACCCGCTGAAGGTGGTTTACAGATGCACACAATGCACTGTGGGTAAAAGTACAGATCCTCACTAAGGGCTCCCATGTTTATTTCTCTAAATTACGTTTCAATCTACTAATGCAGTAACTTTATAACTGTACTGAAACACTAAATAATGTCTTCAAGAATTCAAAAATTACAGCTATTTTTTCAATGCCTCTAATTAAATTCAGATTAAGCTCCTATATATAAAATTCATAATTTTCTTGAAACAATGTATGCAAATTTCTACTATTTACTTGAATCCCCTTTTCTCTTACAAAATGACTCATTAAAAAACACACACCTAGTATGAATTCTGAATGCATTTGTATTAGGTAGACCATTAAGTTGAGGCCTCATTCATGAGCAAGTATACCAGCTTTATAGTTTTCAGTGAGGTATACATAGAAAGACATCCAGACTTACACCCTGCCTCTCAATTTAGGAGCTGTGACTTGAGGCACGATGTTCAAGCTGTTAGCCTCAGTTTTCTTACTTGTAAAATGGGGGTAATGATTTCACTGGGTTGTTCAAAGACCAGAAGATATTTATATGAAGTACAATGGATGCTCAACAATGCAATTCTCTCTTCTTCTGGCATTATATTGTGGTTTCACTTGGAAGTCCCACTTTGACTATCTAGCAAAGTAGAATCCAAACCAGAATATATTTGGGTGCTATTTAGGGCCTCCCCAAAGTTAAACTTTAAGGTTTTCAATATCTTGAAACACTCCGTAATTCCAAAATGACTTTCAAATGGTAACATTAAATACTTAAGAGTTATAAGAAGTAACAATAAGTACTAGAGTATTATAAATAGTCTCACTGTTGCTGCAAAGCATCAACATTTGAATTACTCTTTAACAAAGCTTTAGGATCACAAGGGGAATGTAAAATTAGCAATATAATGTGTTCTATTTTCTGTTTGCTTATTTTTCCAGGATAATCAGGGTAGAAAAGTGTACTCTGGCTTATGCTGACCACACATCTGGCAGTTTATCTGACACTCAGCTGCTTGAAGGGCATGGGAAGAAGTCCATGAAAATCTAACAGCCTGTCCAGTGATGTACATCTACACCCGCAGCAGCATTCCAAGCATCACCTGTATGTCAGGTACAATACAGAGGCACATGGACCATGAGCACTGCACAAGTACCCAGCTGCAAACTACCTGTTGTCTAGAGGAATCTCTAGGAAGCTTTCGGCCTGGACAGTATTTGATTTGACTTCAGCATAAGCTGTAGTTCTACCACATGCCTTTCAATATTTTTCTTAACTAATTTTCTCAAGGGCTAATATGTTCATTATTTTTAATGATTTTTAGAGACTGTCTTATAACAAATGTCCTTACATTGCTACTTATAATGTTTCACTTACTTTCTTAATGCATTAAGGACTATCATTCAATTTAATTGATACAAGAGTTAGGAAAATTTACCTTTCTGCAGAATTGCCGTTAAATGTTCTCCTAATAGCTGTTTCTCCACACAAGCAATCAGTGGTTTTCTATAACAGGCAAAAAGAGAATGTTTCAGAAATAAGGTTAAAGGAGAGACTTTGGTTAACTGTAAGACTGGGAGTTTACAGCTTACACAGATACTCTATGGAGCCAATCAGAAACCAAAGGGTCACAGAACAAGCACTCTGCTCACACGTGGACAGTCACCACTGCTGTTAATACAGAGTCTGAAGTATTTCTGAAAACAATTTACTTAAGAACATAAATAGACCAATAGATGCTGGGAGAAGGGGACACCAGTAGATAGGCAAGTGTGCCGTGCCTTACAATAAAAGTGGCCCCACACTTGGCTGGCAATCGGTACTCATGCTGTAGTCATTTTTTGAATTTAAGTTTTGCCTTCCATTATGCACATTACTTCTTGGATTGCTGCTGTGATTCTGCCCTCTTCTTCAACCCCAATTACTTCTCCAGGTTGCATAAAACCCTGTTTTCTACTGTTACAGCTATGTCTCTCTGTCCCCACTCTGTCTGCTTTCTTCCATAACCATTTATCAAAATCCAACTTAAGGAAGAGCTTTCATGAAGTCCAAGTTGCATGTCACACAGACCAGAATATTTGAAAATCTGGAAATTCAGCAGGTGTGACTGCCATAATTATAGGGACACAAACAATCATTCTTTCTGGGTTCATTAAAAAAAAAAAATCAGAGTATCTGTTTTATTCTGAGCTTATTAATTATGGCCATCTTCCCAAACCTTAATTTTATAAGGAACTTTTCAATGTATCATCTTAATTAAACCTCAGAGAACCCTAGAAAAAGGCACAGCAGACATTCTGGCCTCCATCCCACAGATGAGAAGACAAGAGTTCAGAGATGGTGTGACCTGCCCAGGGAGTGGTGAAGCTGAGAGTTGAGTTCAGCGAGTCGTCAGCACCTTTTCCAGTCTGCCTCCAGGAAAAGGAACAGTGACCCACATGAGGGGAGGTGAAGGGCAGAGAGTAAATATGCCATAAAATCCATCCATTTAAAGTGTACAGTTCAACAGTTGTTAATATATTTACAGAGTCATATAACTGTCACTATGATCTAATTTTAGAACATCATCATCATCCTAAAAGAAACTTCATACCCATCAGCACTTCCATTCTCTCCATCCACCCTCCCTGTCTCCTAATTAGAGGCAGATAGTAATTTCTACAGATTTTCCTATCCTGAACCTTTCCTATAAATGAGATCGCACAACATGACTTGTCTGGCTCTTTCACTTAGCAAAGTATTTTTATGGTTCATCCATGTTGTAGCATGTGTCAGTACTCCATTCTTTTTTTAATGCTGACTAATATTCCATTGTATGTTTACCCATTCATCAGTTAATGTGTTGTTTCCACTTTTTTACTATTATGAATAAAATAATAGTAAGAAACTATTATTTTATAATAATGGCTCAGTAGTTGAACCAGGAGGTCACAGTTCAATTCCTGGTCAGGACAAATGCCTGAGTTGCGGGCTCGATCCCCTGTAGGGGGTGTGCAGGAGGCAGCTTATCAGTGATTCTCATCATTGATATTTCTATCTCTCTCTCCCTCCCTCTCTGAAATCAATAAAAATATATTATAAACAAACAAAAAAAACAATGCTGCATGGACATTTGTGTACAAGTTTTGTCTATTCATTTCTCTATATATTTAGGAGAACTGGTGTATTGGAGAAACATATGGTTAACTGTTTAACATTTTGAGGAAATACCAAATTGTTTTCCACGGTGGTTGCCCCGTTTTACATTCCTACCAATTATGCATGAGGGTTCTAATTTCTCCACACCCTCATCAATGCTTTTGACTGCTTGCCTTTTTGTATTACAGACATCCTGGTGGGTACTAAGTGGTACTGCATTGTGATACAAAGATATAAATAAATAGTATCTTTGTAGACTCATTCAGTACTATCTGGGAGTATTTTTGCTCTTAGCACATTTTATATTATTTGTGATTACTCAGTACTTGTAAGATAAATTAACTGCTTTGTTTATGTAGTGTCAGATCTTGCCAGTGGTCAAGGAAGGATAAAAGTCTTTGTTGAGTATCTTGCTACAAACCTTAATAATAAGCAGGTTAATTATTAAAAAACCAGCCAGGAAAAGGTTTCACCTATGATCGAATTGCAAAAACTAAATAAATGAATAGTACTTACTGTGTACTGTGGTCTAAATACGTGATTACTCGGTCTCCTTCTTCCTCTAAACGTTTACTTACATGGTTAAGATATTCTGGAACCTTCCAAACAAAATATTTAAACACATCAGTAACAAAAAGATTCTTGATTTTACTGAAGAAACTGGAATATTGTTTTCCTTACAAATTTTTATTTAAAAGCAGAATATTTCAAGCCAAATATTAACACAGATTAATGGGGGTGGGGTGGTAAAGTGGGAAGTGTATGCAGGGCAGGTGGGATACACAGAAGTTTCCTTAAACTCAATTGTGGAGATGAAACTTAACCTCTAGAAGCAGGGCTAAGGCAGGACTGCATTGTTGTGCCCTGTTCACAGTGCAGTTCTGTGGTTGATGCCATAGGGCCCTCCATGCCTGGGGCCCCACAGACAGGTGAGCAGCAGCAACTGGGGGCTGATGTCATATGTACCCTCCCCCATCACTGAGGCCCCATAAACAGGTAAGCAGAAGCACCTGGGTCAGAGGTTATAGAGCCTAATGACACCCCCTGGCCCACATACAAAGAGTGTCAGCAAAAACTATTCAACAGACTGGTTGTCATTTGTGGACACTAAACAGCATGGTTGCAGAAGATCTCAAAATGCACATCAGTTCCAGGGACACATGGTCTCCCTGCTGTCATATGACAGCACAAGAAAGGCCCACAACACAGGTCTGTGGGGTTCTGATCTAGTGGCAGCAGCCAGGTCTGGTATTTGACTCGAAACTCCCTCTTTAAAACTAGGACAAAGAAACCAATGGCCGGTTTCATCCTGCACAGTAACAAGTAACATTTGGGTGACGGTCCCCAGGGGCTTCCTCCAGGACTGTGCTGTTGTAACACCTGCAAAACTGGCTGTCAAGCTTTTTTGGGTTCATATCACTATGTCTTTCATATGTTTTTTGGGGTAATTTTTTCATGTGGTTCACATAGATAAATTTTTTTCATGTGTTAGATTTCATATTTAAGATTTACCTCTTGCTTCAACTTGAGTTCCTTTATATACTTCCTTCAGAAGCTATCTTACTGGCTTTTTTTAATTATTATTGTCATTTGGAAGGAGGGCAAAAATGTTTCTATAGGAAATTAAATCCTTACTATAATAAGAATGAAGCTCATTACTGGATATTTCAGCTAGATTATAGATTTCAAAAAAATTTCAATAAAATGTTTGCATGTGTAAAAAGACAAACATTTAGAAATTACACTTAGATGCACATCTATAAAAATGAAATAAGGCAATTCAGAAACATTTTGTTGTCTCACCTCTCTTTCTTGCATTAACCTTTGGCCTTCTGCAGCATATAAACAATTAGTTTCTTCCAAAAATTTCAGTTCAAATGAATCTTTATATACCTAAGAAATGAGCAGAGTTATTGACCAATTACAGTAAACAAAACTACCTTTTGAAGTGTTGATGTACCCCAAATTTTGAGGGTGCAAGGCCACAGTGACTTGCACTAATTCCTTCACTGAAGCGTTTCAGGCCAGCTCAGCTGCCTCCTATGTAGCTGACCCCAGAGGCATAGCTGACTTCTGCTTAGCTGACCTTGGGTCAGCTGATTCCTGGCTGGCTGACCTCTACTCAGCTGACGGGGGCAGCCTAGACCACTTTTACTGCTCTCCTCTGAGTGCCACCAGGCCCTTGTCCTTTATCCAGGGAGTATTGGGCCCATGTTGTAAGGATTCTTTCCTATTGTGGCTCTTGGTGTGGTGTTAGCCCGAGTCATTCTCCTTCTAGTGGTTAAAAAAAAAAGCTCCCATATTTTCAATAAATACTTCTGTGATTTCATTTTTTGCACTTAAATCTTTGATATGTCCATTTATTTTGGTGTAAGTAGTTAGGCAGGGATCCAGTTTTTTTCTTATACACTGAAAAGTTACTGGTAAATTTAGAACAATAAGATATTTACCTGAAGATCAGAGAGCATACTCAGCAGACTTCGCAATAAGCTTCGGTCAACAGCTTCACCATTTCTTTCTTGTTCAATCAATAGCAGAATTCCATCAATAGTTTTACTCTGAACCATTTTATCACTAATAATATGGTTTCTAAATAGTTCTAATCCCATATCCCTGAACAAACAATAAAAAAGTAAACTATATTTTAGTTTCACTTTATAGAAATTTTAGGTGAAGCTCTAGCTACATTATATCATCCAAAGTCTGTTCATTTGCTAATTCTCTAAATCCAGGTGTCAAGATTTTTTAATTTTCATTGTGGGCCAGTCTAACTGTGCCTTGTATTTCCTTCTTTATCAAGGCTGTTATGTTTTCCTGGAGGGGGTCAGGCAACTGTTACATGAGGAATGTTGAGGCATTACTAGGTCAGGCATGTCATTGAAAGTATCTTGCAAAAACCTGCTATCCTCAGCCCGCAATTCACACCATTCTTCCTGGGCATGATCAGAGATGCTCAAGGCTTTAGGAACCTACCCTGCTCCACTGCCCTCATCAGCCCCTCCATGTCCTTTCCTTTTCCATCTCTGTTCCCTCTACAGAGCTTGTCATCCAACTGTTCCTCCCTGACACTTGGTTCTCTCCTTTATTTGGCCCTTTCAATGGGAGAACTGACATTAAAATATGACTTTAAGAGTCCATCATACTTCTTCAGCTCACTGCCTGAGGAATTTAGGAGGAAATTTAGCTGTCAGCTACTATCCACAAAAACCATGTGATAACAAAAGGACTCTATGCTTTGCCAAAACACCTCCTCAAATCCCCTAGGTGCCAAATACAGAGGGGGCCAAAGTTCAGATCCCTGAGCCCAGCCAGGTCTCCTGAATGGGCAGCTCAGGGGCAGTGGTGGTGGTGAGTAGTAATAACGGTGAGCAGTGGTAGTGATGGTGGTGATGGTGCTGAGTATAGAGTAGTGAGCAGTGGTGGTGATGGTGTGGCAGCAGCGGTACTAATGGTGAGTGGTAATAGCGACAAGCACTACATATGCTGGTGGGCGTGCGTTCTAGGGAGCCCTGTCTGTGTTGGAGAACCTTCTCCTCCTTCACTGTGTTCCATAATCACAATGGCCCTGTCCTGTTCCCTGGAGGAGCTGCAGATCAGTCTTCCGTGAATTTCAAAGACAGAGCAGTAAAGCCCAGTGGGCAGCATGTGGGCTCAAGCCAGTCACATGGGCTTGAATCTGCCCTCCCCTCCCCAACCCTCCCCCGATGCTTGCTGTGACTCTGAGGCAAGGAACTTAACCTTTCTGTCCCTGTCCTTCCTTAACACTAAATGGAGATCACGTGAATTGTGGTACATCTGGCCAGGCAGGTATCCAGTGCATAGGAAGTTATCTGTCCGCTAGAATCTTCTTCCTTAAATCTAAATCTCAGTTTAAGGCTTCAGGAGCAGCCCACCAACAACTGCCAGGGTATCTCATCAGCTTCATCTCTCTGATTCTCACACGTTCTGGGCATGCTGCTGTCCTGTCATCAGAGTGGACTTCTTTTCTCTATTGCCTCTTTAGCTACCTAACCACTCCTGCTCATTCTGCAGGGACTGGGCCCAGGCGTGCCGCTTCTCTCTTGTCTTTCCCAGTGAGTCTCTCCCACCTCACCGTGATTCTTGTACTGTACTATCGTGCTCAGTTTTTCTGCCTGTTGCAGTGGACTGAGTGTGGTATAGTATACTTTATACTATAAGCAACGTTCATAGCCTATGTTATAAACTACATTTATAAATTAAGAGTTCAGGCTAGGTAACCTGACAACCCAGGTATAGCAAGTTATTTGAACTCTGTGCTTCAGTTTCTCCACATATAACATGGAGACAATAAGAGTCACTCTTTACAGAGCTGTTCTAAGGATTAAGTGAATTAGTAGATGTTGAAGCACTTAGAACAGGGCTTTGTACAGAATAGAAGCTATGCAATTTGCTGTTATCAGTTTTACCATCCTTATCATTTCTCTGAATAAAGGCTATCTTTTCTGTGCAGTGTCTGCTTTATTGCAGACATGCGTGGATATCTAGCATGAGAAATGTAGGAGCCAGAGGAACAAAGGGGGAAAGTGGTATTAAGGAAGGGGAGAGTTTCAATAGTGTCTAAAGCTATACAGATGTCAGGTTATCCTATATAATGAAAGCCTAATATGCAAATCGACCTAATGGAGGAATGACTGTCACA